CACACACACACACACACACACACACACACACACACACACACACACACACGTGTGTCTTTCTTTACTGTATACATCAGCAGGAAGTGAAAACGATTGAAAGATGAGAGTATTGAGAGTATTTCTTAAATCCTACACAATCTACCATCCGCTTTTCTGTCTTGGTGTGTTCATGAGATTCTATTAGTTTAAAAAAAAAGTTTACATGTATAAATCTCAAGAGCTAAACATATTGAATATACTTTGTCTGAAATTTTCAAATACTGTACACAATAATTACCACAAACAGTAAATTAAACTCCTTTCATTTACTGATTTATGTGTTACTATTTCTTTCCCTCACTGATTATATGAAGCTGTAAATCCTATAAATGACCCATTTACACTGTAGAAAATGTGAGCTGGACTGTGCCAAGACATTTATATTAAACGGTCTCCTAGTGAAAAATGAGGAATTGAATTAAGTGTTTAGGAAAACTTCTACATTAACTGAACCCCCTGTAGAACAGCAGGTGTTGATGCAGACTTATTTGATTCACTAATGGTTTGTGCAGCTTTTTTGTGCACAAATGTAGATTTTGTGCATCAGTCCTTGCAAAGTGAACGTTGCTTATTTGACCTGGCTGTCCAACACATGTCATCTCTCTGTGCAGGTAGTTTGTTCACATTAACGTGGGGGTGTTGTGCATGTATTCAGAGGACAACTCTGACATATTTGTGTAAATACACACCAGAGTCTGATTCTCAAAAATCAGCACCGTTTGAAACATGCATTTAGCATGAAATGTTTACCTTCCCCTGAAAAAAGGTGGAATTTGCACTTGTGAATAAGAAAGTGTGTAAGTTTAGCAATCTGCTTCACATAGAGGATTAACATTTCCTGGCATACCATACCAATTTATTTATAAAGCACTTAAAACAGCAACAAGGCCAATCAAAGTTCTGTACAGCAGAAACAAACAAGTAATGCACACAGCAAAAAATACATAGATCCAAATGGAAAAATATGATAACTACTGGTAACTTGTTAGCTAGCACTGTAGAATACAGACAGGTTAAAAACAAAATCACAGTGTCAAAAGCCAGGGAATAAAAGTGGGGGCCTGCTAAAAACTGTGAGGGAGGGGGCCTGCCTGACATGTAGTGGTAAATCATTCCACAGTCTTGGACCTGAACAGAGAAGGTCCTGTCACCTCTGAGCTTAAGACGGGTTCCTGGAACCAATAAAAGCATCTGGTCTGCTGACCTCAGGGAGCGCTGTGGGACATATGGCTGCAGCAGATCGGTGAGATAAGGGGGGCAGAACTGTTCAGAGATTTAAAAACATACAGAAGTATTTTGAATTGAAATTGAAAGTGACCCAGGAGCCAGTGCAGGGAGGCCAGAACTGGAGTAATGTGCTCTCTGTTGCCTGGACCAGTTAAAAATTGGGCAGCAGCATTTTGGACCAGTTGTAAGTAATTGTTCAGTGGAGGTCTCACTGATTCCAAACAGAAGTGCATTGCAGTAATCAAGCCTGGATGTTATGAACGTGTGTATTACAGTCTCAAGGTTAGTTTTGGACAATCGCCACAACTGAAAAAACAAAAACAGGATTTAACAATCGTGCTTACATGACTGTTAAGTTTCATGGAAGGGTCCATTATCACTCCCAGATTAGCGACTCTTTGTTTCTCTAAAGGGACTAGAGAGGGAATGTCAATGCAGTGGTTCGCGCCAGTAGGAGGAAACAACGTGACTTCAGTCTGCTTCTCATTACATTTGAAGCAATTTAAAGCCATCTAGTACCTGATGTCAGTCAGGCAGTCAAGAAGAGGTTGAATAGAACATGCACCACTGTGCTTCAGAGGGAAGTAAATTTGACAGTCATCAGCGTAAAAATGAAAAGGTATGCCATGTTTATGAAAAATAGCACCTAGTAGCAGCAGGTATAAAGAAAAGAGAAAAGGACTGAGGATGGACCCCTGCGGTACACCCCACCAAAGAGTTGCCAATGTTGAACTAAAATATTTGATGTTGACACAAAAGGTTCTGTCAGAGGTAGGATCTAAACCATTTGAGGGCTGACCCTGTGATGTCCACCCACTGCTCCATTCTAGAAATGAGGATCTCATGGTCGATGGTGTCAAAAGCAGATGTAAGGTCCAGTAGGACAAGAAGCACAGAATCACCTGCATCTGTGGCTAGGAAAATGTCATTAAAGACCTTTAACAGAGCAGTCTCAGTGCTGTGGAGTGAATTGAAGCCTGATTGGAACGCCTCTAAAATAGTGTGATCCTCCAAGAAACATTTCAACTGGGACTCAACTATTTTTCCTAGTGGTTTTGAAACAAATGGGAGTCTGGAGACAGGCCTGAAGTTGGACACTACTGAGGGGTCAAGGCTAGGTTTTTTTTTCAGCAAGGATAGAACAGCAGCATGTTTGACACGTTTTGGCACCACACCTGAGGATGGACTGCTATTCACAGTAGAGAGAATTGAGGGGCCCAGAATAGGAAAGACCTCCTTTAGAAGTCGAGGGGGGACAACACCAATGGGGGAACGAGATGGTTTCATACTGCACATTAGCTGCTCCGAAAAAGACAGTGAGTTGTGCTCAAAGTGGTCAAATACAGCTACACAGTGAGATGAGATGGATGGATCATGATAATAATAATAATAACAATCGTCTTTTCCAGTGATGAGTGTTCAACATGACTCCATCTGCAAATACATTTCTTTAGGAGTGTGTAATATCTCATTGGACCAGAATACCAAACTTTGTGATTAATATTTTAATAGACTGCTGCACACGAGAAGTTCCAGAAATTAAGAAAATGAACTAAAATAATTATTTTGAAAGGTAATTAGTGCAAAACCCATCCTCCCCAATGTGGAATGACCCTCCTTACAGAGTGCAAGCGTAGTCAAGAGAGAACATTTACTAAAAATGACAGATCCTAAAATGTTATGAACTGATTTTTTAAAATGCCGTCATGTATGTAATTCCTCCAATACAGTTCATTTGGTTTTAGGAAGTGTCTCTAAACCCCGATCTCAGTGTGAAAAAAACAATATTCTTTCATTTTGCTACTTTTGTTGCTGATCATATTTAAACTGTGCAGCGAAGACAACTGCAATCTGATGCAAAACGAGTGCAAATTGCTCACACCTGCTGAACCTGAAGTCTGGAGATTAACTCTGTTTGCTTTGTGAATCAGACGCTGAGGTGGAGGAGATGAGGCAAGCGAAGGAAGAGGAAGGATGGAGCAGACAACACCTGCAGCACAGTCTCAGTGAATCTGACGATACATACCTTTGTATCTGGCTTTAAAGCTCTCAATGTAGCAGGCTGCGTCGTCCTCCTCCACTCCCATCTGCTCCCCCAGAGACTTTGCTCCCATTCCATAGATGATGCCGTAGCAGATCTGTCAACATGTGTACAGCCAGGTGAGCTTACGAGTGAAAATCCACGAGCTACTGTTCCTTTTTGTTCCTGCCTAGAAGGACCTGTTTTGCCTGTTGTCTGAGGCAGTCCTGCACGGTCTCCGGCTCAACACTCTTCCACTCTGCTGCGATGCAGCGAAACACGTCAGCTCCTCCATTCAGCACCTTATGAACACACACAGTCTGTAATATCTCCTTGTTGATAGAATGAAAGTTGGTGTCACACTACACCGACCTGCAGGAGGCGCTGATCCTTTGAGAGGTGAGCCAGCACTCTCAGCTCCAGCTGGGAGTAATCAGCTGCTAAAATCATTCCGCCTAAGTTTTCATACAGACAAACATGACTGATAACGAAACGCAACAGGCAAAAAATAAATATCAACTGTAAAAACCAAGTCATCGAGTAAACCTGAAAAGGAAATGAAAGCATGTCTCATGCTGACGGAGAAGGCTGGGCCTTGTTCTGCAGGTCCGGCCATAACTGTTGAAGCCACAGAGCATCTCTTCTTTCTGTAACAACAACAACGTAACATTTTTAGTGTTAGAGAATCTATTCTAGACATTTTTCCATCCATACATTTAGCAAAGTCAGTGTCAAACATGAACTACTGCTGTATTCATTCATACCCATCTACTCACTACAGACTCATGTTCGGGCTGCTTTTAAAACATCATATTATTTTACATTATTAGTCCAACAATGTTCAGTCAGGTCATCTGGATGGTTTTTGTTCTATTTCGTGTAAGCTACGCCCTTTAAAAGCTGTCGCTATTGGATATACCCGCGCGCAGCGCACTGAACACTGAAACCTTCTAGTCCACGCCCACTTGTTGTGTGGGCCCCACCCAGTCCATTATAAATTGCATCTGGACCGGAGCTCGACTCCCGATTTTCTTCAGTCAACGCTAAGAACACTACTTTTTTTTTTTTTTTTTGTGAGCTCAGTTTAAGTGTAGAAACATTGTGAAGTGTTTCAATAAACTTATCATCATCGCTCAATTTTTTTTTTTTTTAAAGAAAGAGAAGAAAGAAGAATAAATAAATAATAAAAGAGAAGAAGATAAGACGAGAGACCACCATGACAAAACAACATGCACAGCCCAATGCCACCCACAATATCACCATGAAACATTCGACATCGCACAAGGAATCATCTAGCTTCCACCACTACCCAACCTAGCGTGCATCTATCAAAGCACCTGAATCCAAACACCCGCGCAAGCACGCCCGCCACCACCAGATTTCTCCAAAAGAATGCCCAATAGTGGACGCGGGGGCCCACAGACCCGCCCCCCCAGGACACAATGGCAACATAGGGAGGACCGGAGCCACAGACACACAGCGGCCCACAGGCCCGGAGCCCCAAGAGTCTCCCAACAGGGAGAACCGCACCCCCCCAGAGAGGAGCAGAGGAAAGAACCGGGTGACCCCAGCCACCACAATGCAGAGCCTCCAGGAAGCTGCAGCGACGAGCCCACAGGCCCGGCCAGCGACCCATGCCCCCCCCCCCAAGTAGATCCGGCCATGGACACCGAGCCCCAAGCCCCGAGGCCATACCACCCCCCAGCAGAGCCCCGACAGAGCCAGGGCACCCAGGCCCCGCCAGGCAGCAACCAGGGCGGACTGACGTGCACCCCACCACCCAGCCCAGACACCGAGAGCCACCAATGCACCAGCGGCAAGGGGGTCCCCCGCAAAAGGGGGGCACGACCGGGGGGAGTGGGCCCCACACCAAAATTGGGGCCCAAATTGATCCAAGAGAGGGGGGACCACCAAAAACCCAACCTGAGTAAGAACACTACTTCTAAGAAAGAAAAATAGAAAAGAAAAAGAAGAAAGATGACTTCAATTAAGAAATCGATGACCATCCGTCTGTGCCCCGCGTGCCAGACGGGCTACATCTTATCGACGAATGCGCAGATCGTGTGTGAAAGCTGCCTGGGAGTTGACCATGCTCGGCAAGCTTTGGATCCGCTTTTCTCTTGTCCAGCCTGTAAACTTTTTTCAGCTGAGGAGAAGCAGTGCTGGTGTACGGTGGCCAACAGGTGCAAATGCGCAGCAAACGGCGAAACGCGCAACAAACACATATATGATGCAAACTCAAAAACACGCAAACACAAACAAAATGCAAACACAAAAAACAAACACAAAAAAATCAAATGCAAACACAAACAAAAAACGCACGCAAACACAAAAAACCACGCAAACACAATAAAGATGCAAACACAAACACGCATGCAAACAAATGCACCACATGCAAACACAGATGACAATATAAACAGAAAAACGCTGCAAACAGTGGAAGACACGCAAACTCCTCCACAAAAACAGAAGTGCTCCAGACCACTAGGGGCAGTCGAACACAGAACAAATCATAAAATAAACTTGGAGGAAGAAAGACGTTTTCCAACCGCAAATAAATCTCACAAGAAGAAGAGGAAGAAAGAAAATGTTTGTTTATACTTTATTCATTGAAACACGCAGTCTTTTACAATAGACCCTTTTCACATGACGTCAGACAACTCACGTTCTGACTCGATGTGGATCAGTACTTCTGGGTCTATTCGCCCTCGGGAGACCTGTCTGTAAACTTCACGGAATTTCATTCATTCAACCTTTATTTATAGAGGTTAAATTACAAGATATAGCGCAAGGTAAGGTTAATAAAAACGGTATTTATGTGTTTGTTAGCTGTGGTAACGTTATCCATCATTATCAATTTACCATTCTGTAACTGTGTAAGGAAACAGCCTCCAATTGTAAAGTAAGCTAGCAGCTAACAGGTAGTTAAACACTGCTGCTGCCTGTCAGTGCTGTAACATTAAAATGTTTACTTTATCTATTAATGTAAAATCTCTGACATCTTCCAACACTGTTGTTTAGAATAGCATTTTAAATACTGAATTAAAAACTATATGTCAAACCATTTCCATGTTCTGATGATTCATAATTTCTCTTTATGCTTTCTTGTGTCCATCTTTCTCAGCAGCAGCTCATCTAACCAGCATGACACAGTCATCAAGACGTTATTGCAGTGTGCCATGTTGAACCAACAATAAACAAAAAAAACACCGTATTTGAGTTTCCACAATTTTCCTGCGGACAAAGAAATACGTTCCCGTTGCGTGAGAGCGATCAGGAGAGATGCTCTTACAATGCTAAAATGCTGTTATTGCTAGTATCACTCAGCCCCCTGTGAATAGTAAACAGCCATCAGTGTGCTAATGATCCATTGTTAGGCTGATGGTCCTTCTTGAGCATGTCAGCAGCAAACTGGTTGATCCACTCTGAGAAGGTGCTATTTAAGAGACTGAGCTGAATACAGTACCTCAGACTGAGGAAGTCTTTCGGATGAAAGACGAAACGTTTCTACATTTTTTTGTTGTTTTGCTTTTTGAAAGTCCAGAGGACCAGAATTAACTTTTTTAGATGTCTATTAAGGTTTATACTTTCTTTTCTCTTAGGTCAACTGGATGATGCTGCACGGAGAATTCGAGAGTTGGAGAGACAAGTTTTGTCCCTAGAAATGGAAATCCAGCAGCTGACAATTAAGAAGTGCCCTCTTGTGTGTATGTGTGTGTGTATATATATATATATATATATATATATATATATATGTGTGTGTGTGTGTATATACATATATATATCATATATATATAATATATAGGTGTGTGTGTGTGTGTATATATATATATATCATATATATATCATATATCATATTATATATATATATATCATATACATCATATATAATATAATATATATATATATATCATATATAATATAATATATATATCATATATAATATAATATATATCCATCCATCCATCTATTATCTTTACCCGTATATTCCATTTTGGGTCACGGGGGACGCTGGTGCCCATGTCCAGCAATCACTGTGCGAGGGGCGGGGTACACCCTGGACAGGTCGCAAGTCCATCACAGGGACACATAGAGACAAACGAGACAAACAACCATTCATTCTCTCACTCACACCTAGGGACAATTTAGAGTTACCAATCAGCCTAACATGCATGTTTTTGGTCTGTGGGAGGAAACTGGAGTACCCGGAGAAA